GGTAAACAAATAAATAGATAGATAGATACTTTATTGGTAAATACTTCGCAGCATGAACTGAATTGCGTATTCACAGATATAAAATAAAAATTACTATGTACATGAATTCATCTTATTATTAAAAAATACGTAGTTCGTCGTAAGGGGGAACTTGTACATTATTTGTGGCTGTTGTCTATTCTGGCCGAAGCAATAAAAAAACTGTTTTTAAGTCTATTTGTCTTGCAAAGTGGCAAAGGAAAGGTACGCTCGTGCCTATGAGAGCTATACATAGCGGGGTGGTAAAAGTTTGCTTAATTTGTGCTGAGGATCGTTCATTATGTTGCGAAATGTTACTGTACACATATTTTCATGGTGGTCTTTCACAGTTGGAAGATTCATGATAGCTAAGGCCTGTTCGTATTGCATACCAGGACAAATGATTCTCATGAATAGTGTTTAGAAGTAAATATTGTGCACGCCAAGCATCGTTTAGTTCTTATTAACCGAGGGGGAGGTCTGTATGGGAGAATCTTGACCGAGGTCGCCAGTACAGACCGAACACAGTGAGGTCTGTACCAGCGACCGAGGTCAAGATTCTCCCAAACAGACCGACCTAGCTCGGTTGATAAGATGTTTATTATATGGCTGCGTCTTATATGCCAATTTTCTATATTCTTTGTACCTTTTTTTCTAGACCAGTCTAGATGCTGGTCTAGATGGGAAAACCTAGACCACTTTCAATATTGATTTCAGCCAATCAAATTCGTGAATTCAGTAGTTCCCAGTCCTTGTCAGACACAGCCATATAACAAAAACTCGTATAACCTTATAGTGTAGTAGTGCATAGTGTTCTTGATATGCTTGGCTTAGGGAGTCAATAATTTTTTTAAGGGAAAAATTGTCGTGTTGCTGGTTAATTAAGTAACTCCAAATTAAATTTGATGACAGTTTTACTTGTAAAGCTTGTAGCATAATATTTGGTATTGATACTTTTGTTTTACCTCTTTACATATCTACACATTGTGAAGTAGTGAGTACTTTTGCCTAATTGGGAGGGGAAGGGGGGAATTCAAAGGAAGCTATCTGGCCTACAATCACATGGTCTATAAATCATGCCAGACAGCCAATTAATTTCTTGACAAGCTTGACCTAACTCAGCTGCTCTTTCTCTTTCTTCCTTCTTTCTCTCCTAGAGGAATTCCCACAGGGTCATATGGGTTATCCAGATACTTTTATTGTATGATCTTGATCAGTTATTCCAGAACTAACACTTATCATGGTGAAATTTTAGAGTTGATCCAACAAAGAACTTTCAGTTGTGGCACCTTCTCTAAGGTCAGAGGAGTACTTAACCATCTGACTGTTGTTAACGGAAACAAAGTGTGTGGAATGCAATCTGGTGAATCCCTAAATTTATCTTCTGGTAAGTTTGGGGCAGTCATCACTAAAACAACAGCATCAACCCAAGATACTCCTGTTGCAGTTATCCTTGGATGGAACAGCTCTAAAGGAAAACATCTTAAAAAGTACAGCAAGATTTTTGAAGACAAGTCCTATGACACCATCTGTGTTCCTGCAAAGCCAATCAACACATTTCTTAGACCAGGAACCAAGGTTAAAAAAATTGGCCATTACATTTTGGATCTTTTAGTTGATCTCAACTGTCAAAAGAGGCCTGTGTTCCTTTATGCATTCAGCAATGGTGGCTGTGCTATGTTTTTTCATATAATGGAAGCCCTCTCATATCCAACCACAGCATACTATCAAGCAGTACCAGTTGTTGGGACAATCTTTGACAGCTGTCCCATCAATCCAGACATTAAAAGTTTGAAAGCCACAAAAGAGAGTGTTACTGACATGATCAAAAATCCAATTGTTAAAGCAGCATTATGGTACAGCATGACTGCTTTTATCCCTCCTGTTATTTACTTAAATGGTACTGTGAAGCGTTACATGTCAGGTATGGAAGAATCTCCACTTTTATGCCCACAGTTGATTTTTTACTCAAAGACAGACAAGTTTGCTCCACACCAGGACATTGACTTTTATATTCAAGCAAGAAGACACAAGGGCATTCATGTTACACCCAAATGCTGGGACAGCTCAGAACATGTCAATCATTACAGAGAACATACTGATGAGTACTTAAAGGTACTGAACTTGTTCACTGATTTTTGCTTAACTTCATACCATGATCAGAAAAAGTGAATTTTCACTGTTAGGTAAATTACAACTGAAACTCGAAAAGTAGCCTACACAACAATTTCTTAAGTAATATACCAAAGACAAGTGCAAGTGTTTGATCAGGGGTTCCAAACACTGATGAACAGCTGGAAGCACTTGGCCACAGGCCGAGTGCTTTTATTGTTTCAAGGTGTTTGGAACCCCCAATGAAACATGGAGCACAAGTTTTTGAGATGACTTCTCAACTGAAACAATAAAAAAAAATTGCAGTATCAAGTATTTGAGGTGAGATCAAAACCATGTTTCATCTCAGATCAAAACCCTTAAGATTTTCATCTGAGTGTTCATTGGGTATCAAAGTTCATGCATGTCACCCAATTATGCCTCATTTATTGGCTGTTGCCCTCATGAATTTGAGAAGCTACCCTCTAGTGCACCACCTGAAATTCGCATGAGTGGCAAATAAAAAATGGATTAAATATTTTTTAATTGCGAGATTTTCAATTGCTTAGATATGGGAAATGACTATAGACAATTGTGTTTAAATTATTTTTTGGTATTGAAGTTTTCTATGGTGAGTTACAATATGAGTTATCAAAAACATGTTGTAGGCATCATCAGGGCTCTGCTCTGCTCTGGAATTGGGTGTAAAAGTCATATTGTGCTCTATTGCTTGTGGATAACTAATATAAGCATTTCCAAGAGAAAAGTCCCTGAAACAACAACAACAACATCTTTTATTTAAACACGGTGGGTTTTAAAGCTAATATTGCTTATGGGGCCGTGTAAAAAATGTTAATAAAATAATAAAAAATTAAAATTTATCTGAACTGAATGTAGTCAATATAAAGTGAAATATGTACAATAAAAGATATGAATAAATTCGGCAGTGAAAGGCGAAATCCCTGTCAGTTTGGGGACGGCCCATTTGCGGTGACTCTTCATTAAAGTTCAAGTTTCTGAGGACGTGAGACTTTTTTGCCCTTTTGGCGCAATCCCTGGCGCAGACAGCGAACGGTTCTAAAATACTCCAAACAATGGATCCTGTATGAGAAATAATAAAAGTTTTTCATATAAAAAGTTTCAAAACGTGCGCTAACACGATGTTGATGATGGAGGTCACAGTTAGACTCTTTCCTTTAGATTATATGTTCCAAGCATGATGGAGTTATGCGGTTGTAGATATTATAAATTAAGGTGGCTATTTTGACGTTATAAGTGCCGAATAAAGAGTCCCAGTTAGCCGTTTTTCTTACATCCTCAGAGGGCATGTCGCGCGGGAGGTTATGTAGAACTCTTGCGGCCCAACAAATGATGCAGGGATTTCAAAGAATTAAATTCGTTTTTATTTGTGCAACACCCCCAAATTGGTAGCGCATATGTGACCGAGGGTAAAATGACTTTAAATTTAAGCGGCTGCGTTTGATCAGATTGAGCTTGTTGACGAACCCTCTCTTGAGCTCTGATTTGTCCACGTAAGCTTGTTGTCAATGGTTACACCTACAGTTTAGAACTTAAGGACCACTTTATGAGATGCCGGTTAATTTTTAATCTGCCTGAGGGACCGATAATATGATTTCGTTTTAAGGATCATTCCCTCGCACTTTTTGGGGTGTGGTACTAGGGAGTTATGTTTGCACCAGAAGGTGAGTTCTTCTAGAGCTTTGTTCAGCGTCGTTGTTACCTGGTCTACAGATTCACCAGCACAGTACATGGTTTTATCATCGGCGTACAGGAAAGTCGTTGCAGTGTTAACTGCTTTCGGTAGATCGCTTGTGTACAAGGCGAAGAGTATGGGCCCGAGTACGGAGCCCTGTGGTATACCGTGTGCAACTTTGGTATTCTCAAAGGGTACGCCATTAAATAACAGTATACTGTTCCCTGAAAGACTGGCAGTCAATTCGATCGTATGAAATGAATCAAGACCTGAGGTTGGATTAGGGTTTTTGCAGTTAATTCTCCAAGGCCTTTGATTCCGTGAACCACTTTATTCGATGAGTTTCAAAAATTTCCTATCGATCCTTGCATTGCAAAGGGAAGCAGTACACCTTGTCGGCCTTAAAAGGACAACCTCAGGCGGAGAAAATACGAAGTCCCCTAAATGAGATTATGAATCAGCTCCAGTCAGAGAATCTCTCATTGGAGTGGTACGTGGCATCTCGTGTACTATTAACTCATTAATAGCCGCAGCTTTTGTGAAAAACTGTGTTTTGAAGCTAGTCGAGCAGATTTCGGGTCACTGTTGTGGTTTTAAAAGCTCAAACTTACCACAACCCCCTTGACAGCTTGTACACTCGACGGCCTTTCGATCCAAATGCAAAATGGCACCCTGAAAATTCTCTCTTTCTCCTGCCCTTTTTTTCCCCTTTCCTTGCCTGAAGTTTCTCCTCACTTGTTGGAAATTTAGTAGGCTTCATTTTTATGTAGAGATTTTTTAGGAAACTACTCATTATTTTCAAAACATGCTCAGAAAGGTAGGTGGGTAATGGAACAAGATTTTCGTGCAGATTTTCAGGTCAAAGTTA